GACCCTTTGAAATCTTTAACAAGATTGGTACCACTGCCTACAGACTTGCACTGCCTCCTGAGCTCTCCCGGGTTCATAACGTGTTTCATGTATCTATGCTACGTAAGTACAATCCGGACCCTTCTCATGTCTTGGCTCACGAACCGCTTCCACTCCGAGAGAACTTGTCTTATGAAGAAGTACCGATCAGTATCACGGACCGAGAAAGCAGAATACTCCGCAACCGAGAAATATCATTTGTAAAAGTCATGTGGCAGAACCACACGCCCAGGGAGGCAACTTGGGAACTGGAATCAGAATTTAGGGCCCAATATCCCCATCTATTTGATCAAGAATAATGAGGCAAATTTGGGGACCAAATTTCTTTATGGGGGGGAGAGTTGTAGCGCCCGGACCGAGAAGGAGGAAAAAAAAAAAAGCCACGTCGGCAGCCACGTCAGCAGGCCTGGTCAGCAGTCCCGGCCAACCGGGACCTGCCACGTGGCAAAATCACGTCGTTCCAAAAAGGGCCACGTTGGCGATCCGCGTGGGCGCGATCGGACGGCCCAGATCAAGCGTGCGATCGGACGACCCAAATTTAAACGCACGGACGGCCCAGATTTAATCAAAAACGGACGGCCCAGATTAAAACAAAATAGACGGCTGAGATCAAAAGGCAAGGGGTTATAAATAGAACCCCCACACCAGACCACAAACCCTAGCCGCCTGCCGCTCGCCGGAGAAGACGAACCAGAAGCCGGCCGCCGCCACCCGCCGCCGCACCGGAGGAACTTCCGACCGCCGATCGAGGTAAATTTCGTACCCCCGACTCATTTTTCCACGCTGATTCCTCCTGTGGCCAAATCGGAGCCAAAATCCCGGCCAAACGGCCGGAATGCACGGCCGAAGCCCAGCGGCGCCGCCGCGCCCTTCTCGGTTTTTGCCTCCAATGAGGCCCTTCCCGGCCTCTGTTTGATGCAAATTTTATATCACCGTGATCACCACTCTTTTCTCTACAGGTTGACTAAAGCCGAATCACCAAAACACGAACCTCGCCGGAGAGCCGCCGCACCCGAGAGTGCCGCCGCCGGTAAGCTCCGTTTTTCCGTGATTTTTTGGCCCCCCGAGGGCCCTAGGGTTGTTTTCTCGCAGGGACCGATGCGAGTGTGGCCGAATTCGGCCGGAAACGGCCGAAAACAACCAACCCGAGGCGAATCGCCGCCGCCAGCGGCGGCGCCGTCGCCAGAGCACGGCGGAGCCGCCGTGCCGGAGTTACGATTTGGGCCGAAAGGGGCCGTGGGCCTAATTTGGGATTTTTTTGGAACACGTGCAGGTACCAGTAGTGCGTTTCAGTTCCCCGAGGAAAATTCAGGAAAAATTAGAGACAGCCTGTAGGCGCACTGTGAAGCCGTGTTCGGACCCCGAAATGAGTAAGGACCCCTCACCCTATTTCCTATCACGGTTTTAAAGTTCAATAAATGATAAAACGGTATTTCATGAATCAACGAATGTGTGAAATTGCTTAAGGTCGCTAATGGAGCCCAAGTCTAGTGTATTTGTCGGTTAACTATTATTTGGCTTGTTTTACAGTCTTCAATGCAGCATGAGGTTCGATGTTTTCATTTTATGGTTTTGTATGCATATTGTACTGTTTTATTGATATTGGATTGAATGACTGGGGTGTTGATACTGCATGTTGTCTGTTTGGCATAAATTATCGTTTAGCTTGTTTATATGTGATTGAAAATGCTGACTGAGGGAAAAGGCGAATGAAAGATTACATGAATGGAAATTGTATAATGTGTTCAGCCTGACTAGATATCCTGGGAGATGGTGGACGGACCGGGTCCGTAGGGAACCCTACCGGGATTGTGGTCTCCCATACCGGACGGGGTATGGAGATCTTATGTGTTTTGGCGCCCATACCGGACGGGGTATGGGGACGGCCCGTTTCACCCTCATACCGGACGGGGTAATGAGGTCTATGGTTTGGCGCCCATACCGGACGGGGTATAGGGACGGTCCTGGAATATGATCTCAAGTGTTAAGGATTAACGGGTAGCGGGACCCCTATGGATCCCCATGGATACTAGTGGGCTGGTGAATTAGGAAAATATGTTGTGAAACTATTGAATTACGAAGAGTGTGATAGGTATTATGTTATACAGTTCATATATATGTTTTCATGATGATGATGATGTTATTGCTTTCGTATATTGTTTTATGAATTTCACTGAGGTGAGTAAATGGTAAAGGTTTTATTTTCAATAAAAGGATTTGTTGTAAATTATGCTCCATTAGTCTTTTTGTGTTTTTCTACCCACCTTTACCTCCGTGACGGTGAGATATCGTGATGTCTTTACTGGGCTAGTGTAGCTCATTCCTTATTTAATCATTTCAGATCAAGAGGACATCGTTCCCGAGCCGCTTCCGCATGAGGACGACGAAGGGGACGCCTAAGGACTCCATAGTCACATTCGTAGTTTTTACTTTCAAGTTTCTCCTTTAGGTAGTTTAATCTTTTATATTTTGTGAGCACGTTTTGGTTTTAGTGTAAGGGATGTTATTCAAATTTTGACTTCGCTTCCGCATTGATATTTTTAATATACACTCCATTATAAATTTCCGGGGCCGTTACAACAACCACTATTACCTATGCACAATTTTCACTTATTTAAATATTCTTCTAATATGTAACATCCTAAAAATTAATGACGACACTCGGGATAGTTTGGAAAGTTTTGGTAAAATATATAAATATAAATATATGCAAATAAATAACAACAAATTATCAAAAGAAAAAGAACTCTAAAGAAAGGAAAAAAAAAAGAAAATCTAGGAAGCTAACGGTCCCAATTTATTCCTAACATCAAACGGTTCCCAAGTCCTTTATAAAAGCTTTCTCTTTTTAGCCATTCCAAAACAAAAGCAAGAATGTGTACATACACTCCACTGTAAGAGAGAGCCGAAGAGCGATTGATGGTGGTGGCTTAAAGAAAACAGGCGTTGTGCACAACAAATTTGTTCGAAGGAAAAAGGCATGCACGATGGCTTCCCAAAACCCATTTCGTCCTATGGTTATATTTTAGATTTAGGTAGATCTAGAGAAGGCAAATAAGCACAATCTATCTAAATCTTGGCTGGAACTACTTCAACACACGAGAGAGAAAGTTGTAACGCTAGATATATGCGAACAACCGAATGGTGAAGTGAAAGAAAAGAGATCGGTGCATGGAACTGTCCAATAAGACGAAGAAATCTTATCAATGGGTGACTTGGAGGGGACGAACCATGTTTGTGAGCATGGCATCCAGCTCTGCACGAGGCAAAAAAGGCAGATATATGCGTCGCGACGAGTTGGTTATATCCGAGGAGGGAAAACTTAGTGCATACAACGATGATGCTTAGTGGTTCCAGCCAAAACGCACTAGTGTGTGGTGATCCCAGTAATGGCATGTGCAGTGGTGCGTGGTGATTCCAATGACACACATATGGCGGCACATGTAGTAGCACGTGGTATCTCCTGTAGATGAGAACCACAATGCATGTAATGTTTATTTCTAGAAGTATTCATTGTTCAACGTGTGTTTTTTATCTTTAAATGAGAAAACTAATCGAATGATAGTCGAGATTTAGAGAAATTATCAATCCAACTCGGTAAGAATCCCAATATTTTTTTTACCAAACTCTAGGTAATGATACTTTAACCTTTCTATATAATTCTTTAGCCCATGCGTAACACTAAAATATATGAAAATTATAAACTATTTTGAAGTAATTCTACTTTCGGTGTCGATGGAGATATATACATGTTTTTATGCGTATTATGTGTCGATGGAGATATATACATGTTTTTATGCGTATTATAATTATGTATTTGTTTCTCCATGTCTGTCTAGGTATACCATGTGTGTGTGTGTATGCCTTTTTCTGTGTATATAAAATTATAAATAATTATGTAAGTATATATAGTGTATATATGTTCAATGTTATAGTACATGGGTGTGTAGTCTATATGTATAGTAATGAGTTTTTAATAGCATATTTGAGTAAGGAATTGAGGAAGAATAATGAAAGCATATTTGAGTAAAAGGTGGAATGATGGATTTTTTAGAATAATTGGAAGAATATGGTAATACAATTAAATTAGCCAAAATAATAAAGTAAAAAGACATAACTTGAAATTAGGTATAATAATTAATGATTTAATAAAATGAATAATTATAGGAAAAAAATGAACCATTATGGACATAAATAGATGGTTCAATAAAAAATTATATAGTAGAAAATAAGAAAAAAAAATCCAGAATGAAAGAGTCCTTTAAAAGGTTAGGAAATCTGTTTAACAGGTATCAAAGAAGGAGGATGCATGTGTAATATTTATATGATAAACTCTATTCTAGAAATGATCTCAACCAGATGTGATTGGAAAGTGATTATCAATGCTCATATGGATTCAGGTATAAGCTCGACTGGTGACCGTGGTGCCCATATAGATTGGGATACGAAAACGATCGATTTTTAATAAAATAAACTAAGTATTTTTTAATAAAATTTTTGAATAGAATAGAATTAATAGTTTTCAATAAAAGAATGTGATGGTTAAAGAA